CTCCCCCCGCACCTTTCTGAAAGGCTTAATCTGGGGGGGGGGGGAACATCAATGAGAGCCTGGTGCCAGCAAGCCATGGGATCTTCTTGTGTCCCAGCCTGTTCTGCTGTCAGGCCCCAAGACAGCACTCACCCACACTCTGGCCTGTCTTGCTGGATGTTTCAAAGAGCTGTGCTTTGATATCTGCAAAGAGAAGTGACTAAGGCTTCATACCTGAGAATCAGGTCAACATAATGTAGCTAGCAGTTCTCCCAGACCTCACAGGTTGAAGGAGACCAGAAAGCTGTCCTAGCAGAATTTGCCAGACCCAGTCAAGTAGCTACTCCCTCCCACCTAGGGGCTTAAGGATAGCTACTATCTGCATAGTCCTGAACATCATGAAAGTCCACACGACGGCGCCGCCTGTCTTCCTCCAGCAGATCACTCTTGGTACCACACAGGTAGATTTGACAGCCCTGGGGCAGAAGATTAGGCTGAGATTATCCACAGACCAACAGTCTCAGTCCTTGATCGTTTGGTGAGGTCTGGCCACCTACCTCTTCTAGACTACGCAGCTCCTTCACCCAGAACTTTGCTCTCTCAAAACTGCTGCTGTCAGTGAGGTCTTGGTAGGGGTCATGCAGGAGACACAATCAAGGATCAGAGGCTCTTCTCTGAGGCTGGCCTGGGACCCAACCCTTAACAGGCCAGAATCCAACCCCTTACCATAACAGACGATTGCTGCCTTGGCACCTCGGTAATAGATTCTGCTCATGGCCTCGTAGCGTTCAGATCCTGCTGTGTCCTGAAAGGCAGAGGGAGTTACTAGGTTCCTTCCCAAGACTACAAAACTAGGCCCACGTCTTCCAGAGCCCCCATTTTTTTTTTTTTTTTTTAGATGAGGAAACGGATCTGGAGAAGAAAAAAATGGCCTCTAGGAGGCCATAGTCAACTAGTTAAGAGGTAAGGCATTAAACCTCGGGGATGAGTTTCCTCAGGACCATATTCTCAGGGGACTTACCCAAATACCCAGAGTCACTGTCCGGTCTCCGACGCACATCACCTTAGCCACGAAGGCAGCCCCAATGGTCTGCAACCGGGGAAGCGATCAGGGCCGAGCGTGCAGGTTGGCCCCCTTCCTCCCGTGGGGACCCCCGAGGGGTGCGGGTGCACTCACGTTCTGATAGGGCCCCACCAAGAAGCGGTCGTGCACGTATCGCTCCACCAGGCTCGTCTTGCCCACGTATTCCTTGCCCAGCATTACCACTTTGACGTCCACGCGCTGCCCGCTCATGCTCCCGGGGCCGCCGCACCCAAGTCAGGGTCCGCGGGGCCCAGGCAGAGCCCAAGCCTCAGACCCAGACTCCAAGGGCCTACCACCGCGCAGCCCCACCCCCGCCCCGGCGCGCAATGTCTCCCCGAGAGGGAGCGCGCACAGCGCCCTCTCGGCGCCGCCGGAACCTGCAGCTGCTCACCCGCCTGCTCTGGCTCCCACCAGGCTCTGCGCCCTGACTCCCAGCTGGACCCGGAGCCCCTGCAACCCGACTCCCACTCCTACCACAGCTACTCCGCGGCAAGAGGCGGGACGCTAGGTCACGTGCCACGGGCGCCGGAAGTGGTCCATCTGGTGCCGGGCGCCGGAAGTGTTGTACGGGCCTGTAGTCCCTCATGGCGGCGGCAGCCACTTCGGCGCGGCAAGACGGTGACTGAGCTGCGAGCCTGGCGGGCGTGCGCCGAGCCACGTGCCCCCCGGGCTCCGCACCTGATGCTGCGTGGGTGCTGAGCCCGCCTAGGCCGGGACGATGGTGAAGTATTTTCTGGGCCAGAGCGTGCTCCGAAGTTCCTGGGACCAAGTGTTCGCTGCCTTCTGGCAGCGGTACCCGAATCCCTATAGGTATGTGGCCGTGGCTAGAGCAAGCCGCCCCTCCCAAACTTTTGGAGATGAAATGTGGGCTGTTCTTGAGTAACAGGGCTAGTAAAGACTCGACATCGAATTCGACGTGGCGAATATCCGGAACCGTGGCCATACTTAGGGCCCGAAGACCTTATCGGACAAGAATTAGCCAGGTTTACAAGGCCGTAGGAGAAGGCTGGGTCTGGGTGTAGTGATTTAGGCCCTAGTCTTAACATGTTGCCACCTCGGAGCGGTGAGACAGGAAGAGGCGGCGAGGCGGCGGCCTGGGAGTTGGGAGGTATCTTGGGGTTGGAAATCCTAGGGATTGCCTGCTCACCTGCCTGTGGCGCTCTCTAGTGGTACAACAAATCTTCAGGAAGGCGCAGGAATCCTGGTCTTGGGAGGAGGCGCGGGTTGGAATTTGCCCCGGGATCACTGTTAGATTGCAGGAAGCCATGACCAGGAGGCTCCAAATGGGAGCCCATATTCAGCCTGTCAGAAGCAGATTTTTAAGGCTCGTCTTTACTTTGACACCTGCAGCAAACATGTCTTAACTGAAGACATAGTGCACCGGGAGGTGACCCCTGACCAGAAGCTTCTGTCCCGGAGACTCCTGACCAAGACTAACAGGATGCCACGTTGGGCAGAGCGACTGTTTCCTGCCAACGTTGCTCACTCGGTATACATCCTGGAGGACTCTATTGTGGACCCACAGAATCAGACCATGACCACCTTCACCTGGAACATCAACCATGCCAGGCTGATGGTGAGAGCTCCTTTGGTTCCCTAGAATAGTTGCTCTTTGGAACTAAGGTTAGAAAGTTGTGAGGAAACTTTTGTATCCTGAGGTAGGTCTAGGACACTGAAGAGCAGTGACTATAGAGTACTATCTCAGATGATTTTTTTCAGCCTCTCTGGACCTGTTCCTTGTTCATATGATGGGGAAAGGCACCTTTTTTTCAGAATTGTTGCAAACACTATGCACTAAATGCTCTGGTTGTGTATGACATACTGGTTGGGTGAGAGGAACAATGCTGAGGGAGGAAAGGAGGCAGTGACTTTCATTTGGAAGTCTATCAAGCCAAAGATACCTTGGGTGTGCCTTATGAGCTGAAGCTCTGGGACCCTAGCCCCACTCTGACTTGACAAGTTCCACAGTTCAGTTTCACCTAATAGGATTTCTGCCTGAGGTTTGGGAGAAACATATTACAGATACCTTTGGCCTATTCAAAAGCTTGAAAAATCCATGTTTAATGAATGTTACACAGCATCTTTTTATATGTGAATACCCTGCAAGTTTTCAGAGAATTCTTTCTCTACTTCTGTAACTTTGAGAGATGGAAGGCTCAGAAAGTTATGTCCTTCAAGGTCACAAAGTAAGTTGGCATTTTCCTCTGCCCAGCACTATCTGAAGTCACCTCAGACGACTGAAAGACACTGCCTCTGCTTGGTAGATTCCAGGACAGGCATCTCTGACAGGTGTTCTCAAGGCATCTGCTTTCTTCTTTCTCTTCTGATAATGAAAGCTATGGTGGTTAGCTGATATTTATTTATTTATTTATTGGTCTTTCCGAGACAGGGTCTCCCTGTAGCCCCAGCTGTCCTGGAACTGTGTAGACCAGGCTAGCCTTGAACTCACAGATCCGCCTGCCTCTGCCTCCCTAGTGCTGAGATTAAAGTTGTGCACCACCACGGCTGGCAGCTGTTTTTTATAGTATGTATAGTATAGTATTTTATGTTTTTTATAGGCGTGCAGAAGGCAGTTGGAATGCCTACTGATCCCGAGACTGTGTCCCTCCAAGGTCAACAGAGAAGTTGTGGAGGACCAAATGGCTTTTCTTTTGGCCTTCTTTAAATGCCATTTAGGCATGCAGTAACAAGAAGGAAAGAGTTTTCATTTCATTGCTTCCCCTTGTGAAAGAGGCAGTGACTCAGCCAGTATGAGTGCAGGAATTAGGGGCTAGCCTGGGCAGCACAGCAGGGATAGGGTCTGAGTCTGTGTGCCAGTGAGCAGAGCAAAAGACGCCCCTGCATGGTGCTTGGCCTGACTCCCTGCACAGATGGTGGAGGAACGATGTGTTTACTGTGTGAACTCTGACAACATCGGCTGGACCGAAATCCGTCGGGAAGCCTGGGTCTCCTCTAGCTTATTTGGTGTCTCCAGAGCTGTCCAGGTAAGTAGTGTGATAGAGGGTGCTGTGGCTCTGGGACCTAGGGCTTCTGGGCTTGGCTGAACTGAGTCACTGGGCATGTCCCCATCCTTCCCCTCTCCTGCCAGGAGTTTGGTCTTGCCCGGTTCAAAAGCAATGTGACCAAGACAATGAAGGGCTTTGAGTACATCTTGGCCAAGCTACAAGGTGAGTACTCTGGACACTCTGGGAGATCCTCCTTAGGAATAACTGTGTTGGTCTTAACAGCTTGACTGATAAGGCATTGGCCCAGTCACTGCCCTGATCTGAACCTGAGACTTGTGTGTGCTGGGGGTTGGGGGTAGGGAATGGGAGAGGTTGATAATAAGATGACTCATTTTCTAAGGAGCCTGGTCTGCACACAGTAGTTGCCACGATGGAACTGGGATTGGGTGGATTTGGTAGGCATCATCTGAAACTGGAATCATGGGTTTTGCTGCAGGTGAGGCCCCTTCCAAAACACTTGTTGAGACAGCTAAAGAGGCCAAGGAGAAAGCAAAGGAGACAGCACTGGCAGCTACAGAGAAGGCCAAGGATCTCGCCAACAAGGCTGCCACCAAGCAGCAACAGCAGCAGCAGCAGTTCGTCTAGCTCACCGCCAATGCAACTCAGCTTCCTCTCCTTTCTCCCCATGTTCTTTATTGTTAAAAATCAACTTGGGCCCTCTACTGTCTGGGTGGTGGGTTGGGGCAGGTGTCTAGCTCAGCATCCACAGTATACCAGGCTCGGTGTGCACTGAGCCCAGCCAGCTTGTTCCCCCATTGGGCAGCTGTAACAGGTGCAGAAAGGTGCAGTGACTTGCCCAAGGTCACAAGCAGTGTGTAGGTGAAATGATAATGAATGATAGACTGTAAGCTCCACAAGGGCAGGGTTCCTTGTTTTATTCTCTGATGTGTCCCAAGTACCTGGAACAATATTTAGCACATAACAGGCACTCAATAAACACTTGATTCAATTGGCCCCAGCTCTGGAGTCAGATAGCTTTAGTTTGGATCTTTTTTTTTTTATTATTATTATTTAAATGTGCATGAGTGTATTACCTGCATGTGTGTAAGTGCGCCTGTGTCGTGCAATGCCTGTGGAGGTCAAAAGGCGGCATCAGATTCCCCTGGAACTGGAGTTAAAATTGTTAGCCACCATGTGGGTGCTGGGAATCGAGCAGTCAGTGCCCTTAACTGCACTGACTGAGAGATGGCACTGAGCCATCTCTCCAGTCTCCCCCCCGCCCCCCATTTGGGTCTTGACTCCGTTGTTTTCGGGGTCTGGACCTCAGGCAAGTCATATCACTCAGCCTCACACCACCAAAGTGGACACAGAATAAATAGCCTTGGCATTCTGAGGGTTAGGTGAGTACTACCTAGCTCATGGCAGTGTTGCTGGCCGCTGTGATCTTGCTTCCTCTTTTCCAATTGTGAATGGGACCTCCTCCATTTCATCAGGCAAGATCACAGAGAACTTACAAAAGAAACTTTTAATGAAAATACTGTGCAGTGTATGTAGGGCAGAGGCCAGGGGCTTTGTCTAGGAAGGAATATGAGGGTCTACAGGCTTCCTGCACCTGTGGGGCAGCAGAGCAGGGCCAAGTGCTACATAAAATGCCCTGGGAGGGAGTGACCCAGGCCCAACATGTGCAGCAGTTTTGTCCCACACAAGGGTCCTTTTAGTCTTTCCCACAAATGGATCTGAGCAGACTTTAGGACTTGTGGGGGAGTCACTGCCAGGCAGGCTCAGTCCAGTCGAAATGAAAAGGGTTCTGGGCAGCAAACATCATAGCCAGGTGCCAGTGCTGTGTGAGTAGCTGTGTTCCTGGCCAGTGCTGAAGCCCCGCAGCAGCTCTGCCTCACTCCCAAATACCAGGCTCTCCACATCCACCTCTAGTTCTTCACAGAGAAGGGTCTGGTCAGAAGCCCAGCCACCCACACAGCCCACACCACCACCACCATCCCCAGCTTCCGGGCCCTCACCTTGTTCAGAATCAGACCGCTCAGAGGAGAGGCAGGAAGAGTCCAGACTGTCAGCCCGCAGCCGGTCCCGCTCTCCAGCTCCTGGCAGCCTCTGGAGCTGCTCCAGCTGCTGCTGCAGGCTCTGCTGTTTGCTGCGCAGCTTCTCCTTGAGCCGTTGAGCCCGCTGCTCCTGCTCCTCCAGCTTCTGCAGAACCCATATGAGTAGAGCCAGGGTCAGCTGCCCAGGGCTTTCGTACTCTCTGCTGTGCCATGACCACACAATGCCCTTGCCTACTCCTGACAGGCAACCATATAAATCGACGAGAGGGTTGCTTCATATACTCCAAGGAGCCACCCCTCCTGCCCTATTAGACCTACAGATCTGTCCAGATAGTATGGTTGGCAGGGTACCCCAATCTCAAATGCCCATATGATACAATGGTGTGGAATATGATGGCAGTATAAACTTTGGGGCTGGAGGGAACTATGGCATCCTGACAAGTACATACTCTGGCTAAAGGAGGTGGCAGCCACCTCCAGGTACCAGCCAGTGCTGCCACATGGACACAGACCCAGCACTACCCATCTCCTGTTTTGTTAAAAGATGCTTAGAAGATCAGAGCTTTCATGTCAAATGTGCTTTAAAGTGCTGCCAACTAATTTCAATTGTTTGCAGACTGAACAAAGGCTACTAGTTTGTAACTCTTGTTTAGGATCCCCCTCAAGAAGCCTAAGGTGTCCTTATCATTAACTTCCTCCTCCCCTAAGTTCTTCCAATTCTAAGTTCAGGGTCTGGAAAGCCAAGGGTTCTGTCATACATGGCCCTCACTGAGCAGAAGCCTGCATTCAGTCACTCAAGAAGGAAGGACAGCAGCTGGGAATGCAGCTCAGTGGGAAACTGCCAAGCATGTGCAAGACCCAGGGTTGGAGCCCCTGAATTAAATTTTAAAAAGGAGGGGGGGGTAAGGGAGAGAAAAAGCCAAGAATACTTGGGGTGTAGAAGGATAAGCTATCTAGGCTAATGTAGGGTCAGTTATCACCAAGCCAGAGGGAACCTGGAAGTTTGGAGAGAGTAGCCTTTTCTGAGGTGGGCGGGGAAAGGAGCCCCAAAAAGCCATCATGGCAAGGCCTGGGTTGGGGAGAGACTTGAGTTTCAAGGGAAGTAGGAACTGAGGCTGTGTCCTGTCTGTGAGGGTTTTCACTCAGGGATGGGCCTCAGGAGATACTCGTGTGCAGCCAAGTGGAAGGCAGCCTAGTAGAGACTAACTAGAGGGGAAACAGCTGTCCAGGAGAGGAGTGATAGGGTCTCAAGGCAAGCCACACCCAGGTCTAGGTCTTGCCCACAGGCCAGTCAACACCTGAGTAGCACAAGTCATCTACGTGCGAAAGAGGCCAAGCAAGCTCCATGGGGGAAAACCAGAGCCTAATTGCCAACCAGAACACTAAAGGTGACAGCAGGCACCTGTGCAGCTGTGCAGTGCTTCATGTAGCCATGGGCTATTTGCTGAATGGCAATGGATCTGGCTCTGTTGTGATCCTTAGTGACTAGAATAGAGCCCAGCAGAGCAAGTACTTAATATTTTTTCATTATTTTTAATTTATATGTATGAGTATATTGCTTGCATGTATGTAAGTACAGCCATGTCGTGCAGTGCCCATGGAAGTCAGAAGAGGGCGTCAAATCCCCCAGAACTGGCTATACAGATGGTTGTTAGCCCACCATGTGGGTGCTGGGAACTGAACCCAGGTCCTTTGCAAGAGCAGCCAGTGCTCTTAACCACTAAGCCATCTCTCCAGCCCCCAGTACATAAGAAATACTTGTTGAGAATTCAAGTCAGGGACTGGTACCTTGGTCCTCAATCTGCCTTTCATCTGCTATGCCTTCAGTCTGGTTATACCTCCATTTCTTCCCATCACCTGGGCCAGGAGGGCAAGAAAAATCCAAGGCAGCATGTACCCATAGCCTGGGCCTGGGTGTCTGCACATCCACTCCTGTCCAGCAGGGGGCAGGATGCTCCACCCAAACAGCAGCAAAGCGCTGGAGGACCAGCTCCGGAGGTCTCACCTCAGTCCTTTGCCCTCCCTCCTGATCTCCAGCTGCCTCTACAATACCATCAGAACCCAACCCAGTAGGCCATGAAGGATGGGGGTTGGAGGGAGTAGGCACTGGCCCTCTATGATCCTAAGGACCTTTATTGTAGGATTTACAACAGAATCTTTTCAACAGCCATTCCCTCCCTACTGAACTGAACATGAAACAAGTCTCAGCAGACTACCTGACTTGCCCAAAGTCTTGCAGCTAGGATCTAAGAAATAACAATGGTAACAACATCAGTGAAAGTTTATGAGGTGGATTTGCTAACTCCTCAGAACAACATTGTTACTATCTGCTCTTCTTCCCATTAGACAAGATTTGGAAACTAAGAGCACAGAAGGGCTATGTGTGGCCTTTTCCCACAGTCTAATCAGGCACTCCACACTACACCACTCTGTATGGCCTGGCAACTAAGCTCGGGGTACAGGCAGCTTGGTACCTGGATGTGTGTCCTGGCACGTCGTAAGAGGCTCAGTGTAGTGTATCGAGAACAGTCAACCCCTAGGGGCATCTGCTGCTTTAGCTGTTCCAGGCAGCGCTTCAGCTGGGCCCTCCTGCAGGGGAAAGGGTCTGGAGGACAGTGCCAACCCCACCTCACTGGCCTGAGGGGCAGCAAGGGAGGAAAGGCCTGAGAGAGATGATCCTTGGGGCCTGGTGCTACTGGGGCCCAGATGGAGCAGGATACCAGGCCCAGAAGATGCAAACAAGGAAGTGAAAAGAGACTTACCTACGTTTCTCCAGCTCATTGTGCACAGACCTGCCAATGCCAAGGAAGACGAAGTGAGGGGCAGTTGGTACTGCCCAAATTCTCAGCCCCAGGACATTCTGGGGCTCTAAGTCCCAAATGAGTTCCCTGTGAGGAGGACTTGTGCTGGTTTGGGACACCAGAACCTCGGGTAGTGATGAGAGGCAAATGCTACAAGAACGCCTACGTGGTAGTGGGGTCCAAAGGAGGTTCCCTGACAGCCAGGCAAGACAGACTTCCTGGACAGATGTGACAGGTGAATTGAGCAAAAAACAAGTTTCCTAGAAAAGGTAGTTGAGGGAAAAGCATTTAAAGGGAACAGCATATGCAAAGATGGTGAGGCACAGATGGAAAAACAGGAGACTGTATGTATGGGTGAGGGACTTGTAGGCATGTGAGAAGGGGGACCCTGGGGACCCAGAATTGTTTACAGTTCCTGGCACATCAAAGGTATTCAAGAAGTGATCCTTGAATGAAGAAAAACATGCATGTTTCGATTGAGAGGGCAGATGGTAGTACTGGAGCAGGATACCAGGCCCAGAAGATGCAAACAAGGAAGTGAAAAGAGGGTTAAGTGAGCCTGATGAGGAGCAGCCCCTCCCCACATCGCCCCTAACCCTTCTCACCGCCCACTGTCCAGACAGCCAGGAGCTTGCAGGGGTCGCTTCCTCCTCCGGTAGACAGTGCCAGGACCGTAGTGCCGACACAGGGACGCGTAGCCATGCTCCGCCTCTGCCAGAGAGAGGCCCCCCGCCCGTCAGCCAGAGCCCCTGGCACGGCACAGCCAGGGAAAGGCTTTTTGGTGCACGGACCATTTCCTTGACCCTCCCTGCCCACCCGCCCGCGGACACCTCTGGATTTGAGGGCGGCAGCATGCCAGTTGCCCTAGAGCCATGCATCCTTCAAGTCGGGAGCCATGTCCAGTCCGGGCGGCGTCAGCGAGGTCGCGGCCCGCAGTTTCCCGGTTCGTCCTCACCTCTCTCACGGCGCTCCAAGAACTCCGCCGCCTGCAGCAGGACCTGGATGTTGCTGGCCACCGGCTCCATGTCGGCGACAGCCAGCGGCGAGAAGGCCTGAGATGCTAGCCTTAGCAGCCCCTGCACCACTTTTGTTACAATGTAACTGACTCGGAGCAACAAACACAAGGCTCGCCCCGCCCCGGCCCGCCCCGGCCCCTCCCCTGAGAGACGTCCGGGCCCCTGAGAAGCGGCCCCTGAGAAGCGGCCCGGGCGGCGACTCCAGCCCTGGGCCGCGCGCTAAGGCCGGGCATGGGGCCTCCGCACCGGTGCTGCGCCCTGCCCGCCGCCCTTGGAGCCCCGCAGGCTTCAGCCGGCGAGCTGCGCCCCAGACCAGTTGCAGGTGGGCGCGGCGCGGCCGCATTCTCGGGGCGGGCCGTGGAGCCTCCCAGGCGGGGTTGGCTGGCGTGCGGCCCCGCCCTCTCCCGCCCGCTGGTCCACACGTTCGGGCGGGAAAAGCAGCAGGTTTCAAATTTGAAAACCCGGGCGATGAGGGCGGAGGCGAGCGGGGAGCAGAGCGTGATGCGCATGCGCCACTACAGGGGCGCAGGCGAGCACTCAGCTAGGTGCGCAGACGGGGCGCCTGTCCTCTGCCTCTCCTAGGCCGTTATGAGGCTTCAGCTTCCATCGTGAGTGGGAATCTTCTGGTTCTCCTGCTTATCTGCAGGGATGCACTTGTCGCCGTGGAAACATCCCTACGGTGACAGCTTCCCAAGACAGGCCATAATACCGTGGATGCACACCAACTGGCTCTGGGTTCTGGAGTGACGGAATCAGGCGGGCTCCTCTCCTGTCGCTGCTACGTGTGACCTAGGGACCCTGTCACAGCATTGTGATGGTGTCAGAGCGAACACCTATGCAGTTCCCTATGCCACTGCAACACAGACCCTGGAGCTTTATTCTATCCGTGAACCCTACAGAACACATTGCTAGCCTTCCGTAGACTTCTGGGCGCAGCACCATCGTGGGTAGACACACATCTGTCAGGAAGATGTCAACGGCAGTAAGAGGGTGGGGCATATAGTCCTCTGGAAACAGAAGGGGAAACTGAAAAGATAGACTGGGTAAACAGACACCTCATTCTAGTTCTCGGAGGCTGTCTCAAAAATCACTGCGGCTCGGTGGCGCACGCCTTTAATCCCAGCACTTGGGAGGCAGAGGCAGGCAGATCTCTGTGCGTTCAAGGCCAGCCTGGTCTATATAGCGAGTCCAGGTCAGCTGGAGTTACAGGGAGACCCTGTCTCAAAAAAAAAAAAAAAAAAAATCACTGCCAGAGAAATCACCAACTGCTTTCAGACAGAAATTGCTGCTGGGAGAGTCCACCTACCATTCATGTGGCCCATCACTGGGAAACCTTTGTTGATCACTAACAGGACACCAGACACTGGGGTGGGCCCCTGAAGCCCCAACTATGGGCAAAATAGTACCTGTATGCACAGCTCACAGATTTGGGGAATGGGTGGAACAATTTAATACCACAAAAGCAGAGTTTCAGGACAGGCAGCACCTCCCAAGGAGACAATTCTGACAGCAAAGTCTTAAAGAGCATTTTGACATAATCATGGAGGTCAGAGAAATTTTCTTCTGGGGAAATGGATGAAAAGGTGTTATCTATGAAAGAAGATTCCAGACAAGGACAGCATGTGTAAAGGATGGCTGAAAGCAAACTGGCAGAAAGTGGCAGACCAAAACAAAACCAATGTGGCTAAAGAGCAAAGCAGGTGCCAGGTGCGGGAAGACCCTGAACAGGTGGATGGCTCCCCAAACTCCCATCTGCAGTCAGGTATATCAGAAGAAAGCCCTTATAAGGCTTAAGAATGAGTTTCCTTGGAGTGGGGGTGTTGATACCAGGCCTCATGTTGCACAGACTGGCCTCAAACTCACTATGATCCCAAACCAGTACTCCTCCCTCCATCTCCCAAATGCTGGGATTACAGGTGTGTACCAGGGTTGATGAGTTGCCAATTTTATTTCACTAAGAAAGCAAACCCACACAGTGCAGGCACAAACCAGGTGGCTGGCCTCAGAGCAGGATGGACAGGTTCTCTAAGGAACGTTCCCATCAGAGGGAAGACAGGGTAAGATACGTGAGGCAGGTGAGAGAGGTGCTGAGTGGCCACAAGAAGTTCCAGCTTCTGCCGGACATGGTGGCACATGCCTTTAATAGCATCACTCGGGAGGCAGAGTCAGGCAGATCTCTGTGAGTTCAAGGCTAGCCTGGTCTATATAGGGAGTTCCAAGCCAGGCAATAAGTTTGGGCTTCATCCTGGCAGCCATAAACTGATTCAAGTTGGGGAACAGCAGGGCCAAAGGATGGTGAAGGTCAGCTTGGCCTCACAGGTCCCCCTGTGAGTATGGGTCAGGGCCACTGGCCCTAGCAGACATATACTTTCCAGGGAAGAGGCAAGGTGTGGGGACCAGATTTAGACTAACAGGGCCCCACGGATGCCCCTCTGAGAAAATGCTCAAGCAAGCGCTTTCCCAGGACTAGCAAGAGTGCCAGTACCCTGCCCCCTTGACAGGAGGTCTCAGAACCACTGTTCTAGATCTCCTGGGTTTTGTACTGCCTCGGGGGCTCCACAGTGCTTGGCAATCATAGTAACTGGGTGGCTGCCTTACCTCAGTGCAGTTTATTAGTTACTAGTGTCCTCTGGGGTCCAAGAGAAGGGATAGAGCTTGTGTGTTGAATGAGAGAGAAGAAAGAGGTCACAAGGAAGACAGCCTTCTATGCTAACCCTCCAGGTGGTACAGGAGACTATCTGCTATCCTTCCAGAACTCCATGTATTCTTTGCAGGTGAGAGGAGCTGTGGGCTAAGGACGCCTAGCTCAGATACTAGAGTGTCTCTTGTCATCCTCAGCTCACTGGGGAAGGAGCATTTCCTTACAGTGGAAGCAGTGCTCCACTGAAAGCCTATGGTAGCTCCAACAACCTCCAGGACAAAGCTGAGTGTGCCCCTCCTGCCATGTCAGGGGACACATCCTGCCCTTGCACACTCTGCCTCTAACAGTGGGCTCAAATGTCACCCCTTCCAGGAAGGCCTCCTTCCTTCCATGCACCCTCTCAAAACAGCAATGGTCTTTTGTCCCTCAGGGTTAGCTCTTCTACCAGACTATGACCCACCAGCAGAGGAAACAGTACTGAGAAAGGCAGTTGGACAAGGCTTGGCTAAGGGAGGAAAAGTGCTTTGTTGGGCCTGGATCCCCATAACTACAGCATGCAGATGGGCGCAGACAGTAGCACCCAGCTCAGAGGCCCAGGAGTATCACCCCAGGCTGTCAGGGCAGCACAGCACAGTGATTATTTCTCTGATTACCTGTACCTCTTTCAAGCGGCCTTTTTAAATATTTTTTATTTTATGTGTATGAGTGTTATGCCTGCATGTATGTAAGTGCACCTGTGCATGCAATGTCTGTGGAAACCAGAAGAAGGTTCCCTTCCAGATCCCCTGGAACTGGAGTTACAGGTGGTAGCCACTGGGAACCAAACCCTGGTCCTCTGCAAGAGCAGTCAGTGCTCTTAACTGCTGAGCCATCTCTCTAGCCTTCACCTTAATTTGTTTTGTTTTGCTTTTTCTTTTTTTTTGGTCTTTTTGAGTCAGGGTCTCCCTGCAGCCCCAGCTGACCTGGAACTCACTATGTAGACCAGGCTAAACTTGAACTCACAGAGATCCTCCTGCCCCTGCCTCCCGAGTGCTGGGATCAAAGGCATGTACCAACATGCCCAGACTTCACCTTAATTTTTGAAGCTTATGTACATAAAAACACCTGACAAGAAGCAATTGACAGGAAGGTGGCAGGAGTGTGGCAGGAGGTGTGAGGTGCTGGTCACGATGTGTCCACAGTCAGAAGGCAGACATGAACGCAGCTACTCAGCTCTTTTCTCCTTTGTCTTCAGTCTAAGACATGGAATATGGAATGATGTTGCCTAAATTCAGAGTAGGTCTTCCCACCTCAAGTAGCCCAATTTAGAAAATTCCTGCTGGGTGTGGTGGTGCACACCTTTGATCCCACCACTCGGGAGGCAGAGGCAGGCAGATCTCTGTGAGTTCAAGGCCAGCCTAATCTACATAGCAAGTTCCAGGTCAGCTGGGGCTACAGGGAAACCCTATCTCAAAAAAGACCAAAAAGAAAGAAGAAAGAAAGAAAGAAAGAAAGAAAGAAAGAAAGAAAGGAAGGAAGGAAGGAAGGAAGGAAGGAAGGAAGGAAGGAAGGAAGGAAGGAAGGGGAAAAAAATTCCTCTGAGATCAGAAGTTTGTTTCCATGCTGATTCTAAATCTGACCAGATTGACAATCAAGACTAACCATCCCAACATGTATGTGTGGATACCTGTATGTGCATGTATGTATGGGCCAGAGGACAACCCCAGGTGTCATACTCAGGAATCCCTCACCTCCTTAGAGACAAGGTCTCTCATTGTCTTGGAGCTTATCAGTTAGGTTAGACTTGCTTGCCAGCAGGCCCCAAGAATCTTCCTGTCTCTGCCTCCCCAATGCTGCCTGGCATTTTTAAAATTTTATTTTATGTGTATTGCATATAAGTATACCCATGTCCTGCAATGTCCAGGGAGGTCAGAAGAGGGCTTTGGATCCCCTGGAACTGGAGTTATGAATGGTCGTTAGCCACCATTGGGCGCTGAGAATCAAACCCAGGTCCTCTGAAAGAGTAGCCAGTGCTCTTAACTTCTGAGCTATCTCTTGAGCCCACCTCCTGGCATTTTTATGTGGATTCTAGTGGATCAAACTCAGATCCACATGCTTATGTGTCTTAGTTTGCCTTCAGTTTCTCTGATAAAAACACTGACCAAAGGGCTGTAGAGATAGCGCAGTGGTTAAGAACACTATTCTCGCAGAAGACCCGGGTTCGAATCCCAGCACCCACATGGCAGCTAACAACTGTCAGTTCCAGTGGATCTGAAAATCTCTTCTGTCCTCTATGGGCATTGCATGACACAGGTACACTTACCTACATGCAGGCAATACATGCATACACATAAAATAAAAATAATTTTTAAATTTTTTAATTAAAAAAAAAAACACTGACCAAAACCACCTTGAGGAGGAAAGAGTTTATTTGGCTTACAGCTCACAGTCCATCATCAAGGGAAGCCAAAGCAGGAACTCAGAACAGGAACCTGGAGCACAGGCCATGGAGGAATGCTGCTTACTGGCTTG